CCTTGACATCCTGTAACTACTGTGATGTCAGGTTAACAGCACTTAAGCACCCTCATAGGAATGGTCGATACACCAGTGTTACACGCTTAGAGGACAAGAAAACCAAGATACTTGAGATAAATAACACTCAGACATACATCCACACTTAACCCTCACACACACAAACATATGCAGGGCTGAGGACATTTACCTAGCATCCATATAAACTGATAATGGTGGCACATGCCAGTATCCCCAGCATTTGGGAAGTGGAGGAAAGAGGATCTGAAGTTCAAGGTTATCCTCAGCTATATAGTGAGTTTAAGGCTAGCCTGGGCTACTTAAGATGCTGTCTCAAAAATAAATATTTATGGCCATTACAGTCTCCATTTCTTGTGAGTGACCACACTGATAGTTTCTGGGACTTCCCACCTTCTCTATCATCCATTCTTCACTTCCTTTCCCTCAGCAAGAACCTCAGCTTCCAAGGTTCAGAACCAGGCTGATACCTAAAATCCATCCTCGGGCTTTATTCAAGGATGTCTGGGCACAAGTGTTATCATTTTCCAAGAGCTCTACTCACAGGGCATGGGAGCACTGAGTCCCCTCAAGACACCGTGTGTTCTACACACCCTTTTCACCCCCACAGTGGAGAGAGCAAACCGGTTCTCTCAGTGTTCGGGGCCCAGCCTCCAGCAGCGCTGGCTGTTGCGCCCTCTTGGCCTGTGTTGCAAAGATACCCCAGTTCAGCAGGACCAGCACAGCCCTGCTTCCATGCTATTCACTGATGACAGTGAACACAGAATGCTCACCTAGCGGGCAAGCTTTGTGAGAGCGAGGCCTTTGTCTCTGCTGCCCTTGCCTGGTGCACTGGCACCGAGAAGGTACTCGGTGAACACTGTCAAGGCGCTTAGGATTTAGCTGTCATTATTCTGGGCTCTGGTCTTGGTAGACGTCCTCCCTGATCATCCCAGATCCTTAACCTGAGAGCCAGGCCTGTCCAAAGATCCTGGGATCCAAACCTTCCCTTCAGGTGACATGGGCAAACAAATGAGCATAGACCTCAAGTCTGGCATTCTAGTCTGTCTAGGATTATTTACTGGACTGTTCTGGAAAAACAAGCCTGTTTCCAGCCTCCTGGCGCCTGCCACCCTCCACCTTAGTCTTCTGTCTGAAGACCTATTTAGATTCCAAGCCTACACCCTCAACAGATGCCTCCAGCCATCTTGGGCCCCATGAGCTCTAGGAGGCGGGGTAGGAGAGGATGCACACAACATTTCTTGGTGGCCAGGGTTCCCGGTGGCCAGGACTCCACGTAGGCAGCCGGGGGAGCGAGGCCTCTACTCTCCACCCTGTGTTTGTTATTCTATGTCATAGCCTTATCATAAACATTATCCTAGTGTGGGCCACTGAGGCTCCTTGCAAGGGAGGTTTGTTGTTCTAAGGTGGCTGGGAGTAGAATGCCCAGAGGCCTGGGGAATTCTGGGAGCTGGAGAGGGAAGCAGAAGCCAGGGTGGTACTTCATTTTAAAGCTTGTGCCTCTGTCACCCTGGCGTGAAGGTCAGTGGCTTGTCTGCCTCCTCCTTGAGTTCCATGTGCTTAGAAACCACGACATATTTCTCCATCAAACCCAAGTCCCTGCTGAGAAACTACTGAAAGCCTTTGTTTGATAAAGGAAGGAAGGGAAGGGGGAGGAAAAAGGGGGTGGTCATATAGCTTCCTTTTGCTAGTTGGAAGCCCCAAGAGTGCTCACAAAAGAGGACACAGTGCCTCAAGGCTTGCTTGTAGTAAGCCAGTGATCTGGAATTCTACCTCCGCTCTTTTCATTGAGCTTGTCACTCCCTCGGCTTCTGTTGTGCCCCATCTCTACATCCCTGCTGTCCCTCCTCTCCTTGACAGAACAGAGGGAGGCCCTGTGTGCACTGACCAGGGACAGAACATGTGCCAACTGGTCCATCTCACCTCTTGCCAGCCTCCTCACCTTGGGTTGGTATTTAATGTATCTTTACTGTGGAATTTTTTCATCTTAATTTCACCTGGGAGCTGCTCTAAAGATTAAATAGTGAATCCACTTAGGAAGTTTATGTCACATAGTAAGGGCTCAATAAAACCAGGGGTCCCAATGTGAATGGGTGATGACTCTGTCATGAGTTACAAAGAGTAGGTATGGAGCAAGAAGTGGGGGGAACATGATTCAGGGGCAGCACCTTCTTTTTGTAGTGTTTCCTGAGTGTCTGATGTCGGACATTGTGGTTCATGGATGAACAAAAAGACAGAAGGCCAAATCAATTCTGCAGGACACGCGCCTCCAGAGTGGTCTCTGCACAGGGAGCCTGTAGGAGGTACCAGATCCCACCAGAATATAGTTAATGTCACAAACCAGCTGAGACATGCAGGGAGCTGCGAAACTCTCGAATGGCCTGGTGGGCCTTAGCTTCCTGTCTGCAGCACCCCAATAGCAAGCACCCTGACTGCTTTACAATGATCAGAGAAACAGTGGGTATGAATGGCTATACCAGTAGACAGCAGAAGGTCCTGCATCATGAGCCTTGTGACCCAAGGCTGGGAGTCAGGACCCTTGGGTGGAGCCCCTTGTGCCCAACTCCCTGTATGATATGAACTCATGCACACCCCTTCCTACCTGCCTGGGATGCTGTCCCTCTCTTCCTTTGCATTAAGAATGTACAAAATGAGATCAGGGATCCTTAAACTAGGCTCCAGGGTTCCTGTGGAAATCCCTGCAGCACGGGCCCATCCCCCATCCCAGCCTCCCTCATATCAGCCACGACTTTACTATTTTTATCTGTTCCACATTCAAAACTCCAAGTAAGAGTCCTTTGGAGAAAGACAGCAACAATAACAACAACAAAAGAATTCTACAGCTAAAAGTAGTTTGAAACCTCCGCACCAGATGAATTCTCGGGACCCTATCTCCCAGCACCTAGCCGGGAAGATTTGGCGTTCTTTTCTCCTAAGTTTTATGTAATGAACACATACTCAGCACTCATTTCTTGCCAGGACTATGCTTAACACCCGGCAGCCGGGAATATACTTAATCCCCTGAAATACCTCCCGGCTTCAGGAAGGCCTCATCATTGCAGAACTGACTTCTTGAGTCAAGCAGGGACCAGGGGAGGCATTTACCCTCCAGCCAGGTTTCCGGGTGCCCAGGCAGATGACCTCACCCCCGGGCACTGCCTGATCTAAGAAGCAGCAGAGCAGGTGTGTGCAGCAGCTGGGTGTGGTCACAGGAAGTCCCTCTGTCGTGGGCCCTCAGAGTAGGAGAGTGGATCCGCTCGACATGGACGCTTTCATCAGAGGCGTGCACCCTGCAGGAGGAAGTGCTTAGTGTCTTAGCAATGTCCACAGCAGAAAACGTCACTGCCTCCTGTAATTCATCCCCAGCCACCACACTGCCGTCGACACTCGGCACCAGATGGCTGCAGGTCTGATTTCAGCCAAAGCCCAGGAGTCTGGAGAAAGCCCAGACGTGGGGCAAGGGGTCTGGCCTCACCTCCAGTCCTCTCATTAAAGGGAGCAGTGGGGGCTACCACAGTCTGTGCAATCCAATTCTCCTGCCATTAGCAAACACAGAGGGAACACACGCATGACCCTATTGCCTGTGTCACCAAGTTGACCTGGCCCTGTACACCTATTTCAGAAGCTTTTTATTCCGATTATATGTCTTGGTTGGAATGTCCGCTAGTCTTCTAGATATTTTTCTTAAGTGCTTAAAAAGCACCTTTAACTATGAAGGAAACAGCAGGTCCCCAGGTTCTAACGAGAAATAGAGATCACACTACCCTCCCTTCCCCGGGCACAGGGCCGAGATTCAAGAGCCAGGAAGATACACTCCTGACTTCAGGAAACTCAACCTACTGTAAGGCTGGCAGTTAAACACAATAAAAAGCTAATGGAAGTGTGGTCTGTCAGTCATCTGTCGCAGAGATTATGCCGTCTAACGATAGCATGCAGAGCTCAGGTAGCCAGTGCCAGTTGTTGGCAGGCTCCACTCTCTTGCAGGCCTCACCTGTCTAGAAATTGGCTACCTGTCTGCTGATCTGAGTGTCAACGGCTGTGTAAGTCTTGCTCTGTGTGTCTCTCAATCCGAGTGGAGTCAAAGGCAAAGAGGGGATGGCCACAGCACCCAGGTGCTTTTCAGGCCTTTCTATGTAATGTTGACTGCCGTTATCCCATTGGCTGAAGCAGGTCTGGCGTCAGAATGGGTGGGATCGACAAAGTCCTTTGGTTGGCCAAAAGAGTCTGGGATACCAGACCTTGTGATACAGACTCCAGCTCAAGTCATGCAGGTAAAGTGCCTTCCATGCCCTGGGCCTCAGTTTCTCCAATTCTAAATGGCCAGGTGTGGTGGTCTATGTCTATAGTGCCAACACTTGGGGGAGGGGAGTAAGACAGGAGGAAAGTGAGTTCAAGGCAGCTGAGGCTACATAATGAGGACCTGTCTCAAGTAAACAAAATAAAAATGGGAAGGCTGAAGCAGGTTGTCTTCCAGGGCCTGTGTCATGTGCACCGTGGGAGCCATGAGCTTCAAAAACGTGCCAGGAGCCTGGAAAACCTTCTGATTCCAGGAGAGAAACAACTTCTGTATAGTGTTCCAAGTGACCCTAAGGCCTGGAAACTGCATCCTTGGAGCCAGTAGCCCAGAGCAGAGGAGGCAGACGGTGCATCTGCTAAAAACATGGGAAGGTGGGCTCCAAGGATCCTGCTCCGAGACCTCTGGGCCTGGACACAGAACCAAGCTTTGTTTTCTACTGTTCATTGCCTTGACTGCGTTTCAGGGTGCTCTTGGTAACAAAATGGGGTGCTTGTTTTAGAATACTGCTAAGCAAAGTAGAGCAAAGGAGACAAGAGGAAGACTCACCCAAATCTCAGATAGTTCACTGTGTCACGTACCTTCTGTTTTATGCCGATAGCCCCGAAATCCAGAACGTTGAGGGCCACTCCCAGAGGCCAGCCTGTCCTTGAGAGCATCCCTGATGCCCTTCTCTTTTCTCGGCCAGGTGTTGTTCGCCCTGAACCAGACTCTGCTGCAGCATGAGAGTGTGCGGGCTGGGAGCCTGCAGGCGCCATACACCACGGAGGACCTCATCAAACACTACAACTGCGGGGACCTCAATGCAGTCATTTTCAACCATGACACATCCCAGGTGAGGCCCTCCTCTCTGCCTGCCCTGATGGCCACTGTGTCACCAGCTGGAAACACCTGGACCTAGGCATTTATCAGATGCCTACTGTACAGTGGGCAGAGACCAGCTTCTCTCCAGCTATGATGGATAGGAACTACTGTCATCTCCTTTATAGAGGGGAAACTGAGGCTCAGAGAAGACAACACTTATTGCTCGAGGCTGTGCGGCTTATTGCTGTTAAATCATCAAGAACAGCAACTGGAACCAGAAAGCCCACAGAAGGGAAAGCCTAGTTAGTATGAGTTTGGCCTTGAGTCTGTTTCAGGACCTTCTGCTTTGATACAAATCCTAGAGCCAAAATTACAGGAAGGCTAACAAGACCCTGAGTAGGGACCTAAAGGGTTGAGTTTGGCTTGACCTTGCCCAGACTTTACCATGCCTCCTCATTGATTTCCAGCAAATTCCAATACACTCCACCCAGCACTCAAGGATCCTCTAAGACCTCTCTGTGGTCTAGTCACAGCCCATACCCCCTACGTCAGGCGTGTGGGGTTTACAGCTTGTCCCATAGTACTTCTGAGCCTTTGTCCAGGCTCATTCTCCCCTGGATTCCTCCAATTTGATCATGATTCAATGTTGCCTGCTCTGAGAAACCTCCCCAGCCTCCCGGATGGAATCAGGAATCTCCCCAGACATCACACAGTTTCCCTCAGGGGTTCCTTTGCCATGGTATTTGGATATTTATCCACTCATAAAGCTTGGATTAGGTAAAGGAGGCCATGTCCATGTTCTGGTCCCTTTCTGATGTTCCCAGTTTCCCAGGGTAAAAGCCGGTCTCTGCAGTAGTCTGTGTGCTCCTGCTGTTCTGCCCCTGCTCCTGACCCCATCCCCTACACACACCCCAGCAGCACAGTGTGCCCTGTCATCTCAAGAACTCATCTACATGACTCTACCTTTTCGCTGGCTCTATTCCCTCAGCATAGGTGATTCTCCCACCCGCCATGGTAACGTACTCCCTCTCCGTCTTCAGGCATCACTGGAACCATAAGACCAGCCCCATCACCCTGTCTGAGCTGTAGCCTGAGCCCCACTCCCCCTCAAAAGAAAATACACCAACTGTCATTACCTTTTCTGTACCCTGTTTTCCTCCCACGGTCATACACTCAATCCTTTCACTAGTGACTACTTACTGTCTAGTCCTTCCCCCTGGAACACAAGTTCCATGAGGGCAGGATTTGGGTCTGTCATTAATTCGTTTATCCCCTCTGGTGAGAGAAGTCCCCAGCCTGAAGTGAGACTCTATAAATATTTGCCAAATAAATGAAATAGTTTGTAAATGTGGTAACACGGCGCACACAGGGATGTGGTGGGGAGCCAGGGAGGACAACTCTCATGGGATTTACCCTCTCACAATGAGCCTGGGAGACCCAGGAAATCATTGTCTCATATAGGGACCCTTGTACTGGGGACAGAAGAGGTGCAGATACACCCCATGGCAGGACTCTCTCATTTAGATGTGGCTGCAGCTGGGACTAGGGCAATTAGGAAAGATTCCTATAAAGTAAAAGGTCACAGAAGAACCTACATTAGCCATAGACAAAGAAGGAATGTTCCAGCATTGAGCACAGTGTGCAAGTGAACCAGAGACCCAGAGGAGGAGGAGTGGGGAGAGTTCTGGTTGGAGGCCGGCCAGGCTGGGGCCACAATGTTCTGTCTGTGCTTGCCACCCAACCCCCAGACACAGGCTCCCTGAGGGCAGGGATGAGCTGCTCATCCCTTGGTCCCCACTGCTCTGGAGAGACCCCTTGGCGCCTGGCACAGTGTGCTTGCCAGTGAGTGACTGTCACGCATAACACTGAAGGTACATCATGTACTTAGGGAAGCTTAGAGGATGGAAGAAGGAGCCCAGCCCTTATTGTGGGAGACTCCAGGTCTGAGGACTCTAGTCTCCTGGTGGAGGAGGAAGGGGAGGAGCCTGACACCATTAACTGATGGGACTCTCACCTGAGTCCCGTGAGAGTCCCACTTCTGGTGAGCCTTGCTCTGAATCTGTTAATGGCCTCGTTTGGTGGGTGGAGGGTGACTCCACAGCAAAGGGTCTTGGTTGTAAGTTGGATAACTGGCTGTGAAGCAGCTGGCCTGAGGAAGAAGGGGTGAACAAGACAAGGCCTGTGGCTAACTCTAAGCCAGGCAGAAGAGGCATGGGGTGAGCCTGGGGGATGGTCAGTTCAAATTTCCTTTGAATCTCTGCTGATCTCTGATGGCTGCAGCCATGTCCCCCAGCAGAGCAAGTGGTCTGCCCAGAGCTGAATCATAGTCCAGGTTGCATATGGGGTACACAGGAAACCTGTCCTGAGGAGGAGAAAATCCAGGGTCACAAGGCTGAACCCTGCCATTGCACGTCTCACTATGTGGGGCCGCATCTGCAGTCAGAGGCCTCGAAGCCTCAAGGCCTGGGGATCTAGAGATTTAGGGGTCATCCCCCTGAGCAGTCAGGGAGGCTCCAGGGTAATCATAAAGTAGGAACTAAGCTTGTTAGTAAAGCTTCCTAGGTGAGAATGACAGCCAAGAGGAGGGACTGGTAGATGTCTCCAGAGGGCGTGGCTTGCATAGCAAAAAACAAGCATCTGGTGGGAATGCAGCTAAGGAGTAAGACCCCCCACCCCCCAGGAGTGTATGGATCAGTGCAGTCAAAAAGATGCCTCTGGCTGCAGTGGGGAGGGTGATCAAGTAGCCTTTGGAGATCAGGGTGAAATTAACGCAGGGCCTGAGACCCCTTGCTCCTTACTCCCTAACAGAATACCTCTAAGTTCCACCCCCCTCCCTCAACAATGACTGTGCCCTGTCTCTCTCTGCAGCTCCAGGTTACGGATGTTGTTAGTGTCCGTAATGGGAGGACCACACAGAAATCCTACCTGGCAAGCCTGGGGTCCCAAGCTCCCTGAGGGGAACGGTAGCCACATATATGTTTTATCCAAGTGCAGCGACTTTTGACAGTAGAATATTACTCAGAGTCAAAATAATTTATAGCAGTGCCACCATCTCCTCCAACCGCAAACCTAGGTTGACCTGGGCCAACCATGCTCCATAGTCAACCATCGGGGACCTTCTTGGAACACTTCTTCTCACCCTCTCCTACTGTATATCCCATAGTATTCCTACAAGTATGGCTGACCCCTCTACTGGGCTGGTACTCTCATGAGAGACAGAGGACCCAGCTCGAAGGTGCTGGGGTGGCCCTAGCCTGACACAGGGCAGGATCTAGGGTGTTTCTCAGAGGTTACCTACTGGGTAGGTGGGTACAGGGAAGTGGGTAGTTGAAGATTATCAACAGGCCTAGGCACTTAGCCATCCCTAACTACAGACCAGGGAAACCTATTGAACCCCTCCCCCATAACCTCACAGCAGTCCCGCCTGGCCCATCTCCTTGTCACCCCATCACACACCAGCCTCTCTAGAGCTCTAGGGACATTCCATGATTTCTTCAAAATGTTATCAAATGCCCTGCACTTAAACTTGTCATGGGAGATTTAAGGCCCCAGACAAGTCTAATGACATCATTAATTTGCTTCTCCCCCAGCCCTGGCGCAAACCCAGGCCCCATCCTTGGCATGGGGCCAAGGCCCATCAGCATGAGACACACAGAGAGTGTTAGCCAGTGGCTAGGAAGTTCAGGGGAAGCTGAGTGTCCAGCCCTGCGTCTTCATGCTTTTGAAATTTTACTCTTTCTTGCCCTTATAAATAGCTTCGGCCCCCTGGGGAATCTTTTTTGGGTGTGTTTTGTGGGCGGAAAGCATAGCAGGAAGGAAGGAAGAGCACATGCCCACAGGTTCCATTATCCATGGGAGAAGGAGGGGACTCAGACCTCTGTCTTCACGTCTCTCTGGTGGTTCTAATGACTATCTGTCATCTCTGGAGGCCACCCTTCTCTAGTAGCCTGTGACATCACATGGGAAGGGGACAGTGCAAGGTGAGGTGTATAACTCCGTACTTCCACGGTGCCTTACTGCGCTGGCATCTTCCAAAGCTGGTCTCATTGGATCCATGCAATAAGCCATGTGTGTTCCCTGTCACCAGTGAGGAATGTGAGACTCAAAGAGACCATAACCTAGTGTAGCACCGAGCAAGGAAAGAGGGATGGCACCCAAGCTGCCCTGGCTGTGGGACTGCAGGACCTGTGCTCATCACCGCTCTTCCTCAGCTGTTGCTCAGCCCGCTCATCCAGCCACTTGCTCACTGACTAAACAAACACTTACGTATAATAAAGCATGGCCTCCTATCCTCTCCCATATCCCGTAAATGGGGAGAGGCCTTTGAGAGGCATGTTTCCAGAAACAGCCCTTCTAGTCATGTCCTGGCTGTTCTCCACACCTGACTTCAAATTGCCTAGCGTCTCCTGTAACTCCATCAAGTCAAGGGTGACCTATCCCATCGGGGCTGCCAGTCATCCCTTCCCATGTGGAGGAGCGTAAGTACGCAGTTCCTTCGTTTGTCTACCTGCCAAACCAGCAGTCTCTGGGTGCCAGCTCTGGACCGGCCTAGGCATGAGCAGGGCTGCTGCGTACATTGTACACATTGTGCACAGCTCACGTTGAGACAATCACATCACTTCCAACTTCATCCCAGAGTAGTGAGTCTGGCCTCTCTGACGACGGAGCCGTACGGTGCAAGTGTATTTACCACCCATTTCACCCACGGGTCCTTGGCGAGCATACCAGAGGCAGATTCAGTCTCTGTTAACTCCCCGTCTTCCCCAGAAAGAATGTTGACAACTCAACAGTGGCTGTTAAAAAAAAAAAAAAAAAAAAAAGCCATGTCACTGGGCTAATAATTGGCTCTTCTGAAGGACTAAGATCTCTAGGAAGTTGGTATCTTCGGGCACAATCCCCCTCATCTTTCAGTCAGGACTGGTATTTTGTGCTTTATGCTTGGGTAGAAGACACTGAGAAGTGGGAGACGTTCTATGAGCAGGAGCTTGGAGGATGTTATGATATGGGTGGATCGAGAGCAAAGACAGTGTGTGTTGATTCATTGTCTTTGTTTCCGCAGCAGCCCCCATGCACATGTTGGAGGAAATGGTACTAGAGTGCCCAGACCTACCGTCCAAGCCGAATAGATGAAACGATATGAACACAGCAATCCAGAAGGGGTAGCACAATCTTATGTTCAAGATGTAGGCATCTCCCTATATCTTGTATCAGGAAGATGCGCCAATAGGCATCTTCCTTGAGTAGGCCCTGGGGACTTGGAATGACGTAACTTCATCCTTGAACTCAGGGATCCCTCTGCCTAGTTCGAAAGCACATCAGCAGAGCTGGATCTCAGGCTGGATGCGGAGAAGAGTGAGGGTAAAGGACCCAGGAAGTAAGGATGAACAATCCCTAGGCAGCTTATCCCACAAGCATTAGCCTGGAAGGAGCTGTGATCCTGGAATAAAGACAAAGATCTGGAAGGGTGAAGCCAGAACGGCAGATAGCAGCTCAGACTTGGGGAAAGCCGAAAGTGCTGCCCTGCGCATCTCTGTAGAACAGAGGGTGGAGTACAGCCACAGGGCCCATCATCTCGATTGGTTCTTCCCATCACATTGGTCCTTCCTATGAATGAGAGCCAGGGCTCAGCAAAGTGGTGTAGCATCAGAACTGAATCCAAAGCTCAACTCTCCCTAACCCCTAAGCTCTCTGGCCTTCTTGCCACGCCTGTCATCTGCCCCCTCTTGCTGAACTGGGTTCCTTGTCCAGGTCATGCTGGGCTCAGGGCTGAGGAAAGAACATAAGGAACTCAGCATAGCTGCAGCCTCCTGGGCCCCAAACTCTAAAGAAATATCAGGCAGGCCTGTGTGGCATCTTACCATCAGGGCGTACGGTTGATTGCCCTAGCTGTGGCTGCACACATCTCTGGATTGTTCCCTCTAGGCCCTGCTTCACATGGAAAACTGGAACAATGCTTGTTTCTGAGAGTTTGAGGGTTGATGAAACAGCACCGAGCCTACTGTGGGGCCTCAGAAAGGGAAATTGCCAGTCCTACCTGGACCTTGTGTTTATCTGACATGTGCCCTGCTCCATCAAGACCTGAAGGTGACTTCTGCCTTACCATTGCAGCTCCCCAATTTCATCAACACCACCCTCCCACCTCATGAGCAGGTGACAGCCCAGGAGATTGACAGCTACTTCCGCCAGGAGCTCATCTACAAGAGGAATGAGCGCATGGGGAGGAGAGTCATGGCGCTGCTGCAGGAGAACCAGGACAAGATCTGCTTCTTTGCCTTCGGAGCAGGTTTGGCACCATCTTCTCTCATTGAAGGAAAAGCTGAGGCCCAGAAGAGGTCAGGCTAGGTACCTAGGAGCAGGGCTAGGACCCTAGTACTTCCCCAGCTTCTGACCAACTGCTTTCTTATAGTATCGTCCTTAGCAAGGGAAACAACCCCTGCCCCATCCATGGTAACTCTACAGCCCCTTCGAGTGCCAAGTAGACTTATGAAAGCCCAAAACAATCCTCCCATCCAGCTTGGACCCACCGCACCTAGAACCAGGGCTAATCAGAAGGGTCCTGTGGCCTCAGGGGTGAGGGAGATGGACTTTGACAGCCCACAGTTCTGACTCTACCTCCAACCAGGCCACGTGTCATGTCACCCTGTCTGGTACTTTCCCAAAGGTCCAGTTTTCTCTTCTATTAATGGAAAGGATAGTAGTAACTATTTGATGAATTAAAAGTGTTTATGTTGTCAGGCAGTTGTAAGGATGTGTGACATTTAAATAACCTGCCATATGACAGGAATTCAGAATGGCAGCTACAATGATCATCTTCATCAACATTATAATGAACTTAAGCATCGCCATGGCAACACAGGGCATTCACTAAATGTTTCTGGGGATCTTTCTTCTCCTGCGAAGGGAACTAAATATGTTTACACATGGTTCCTTGGGGTCCCTATTCCTTCTCTGTTCCCCCTCCCCGTTTCTGCCTTTCTCTGTGGTGTCTCTACAATGGCTGCAATGGGGCCAGGATAGTGAATTTGAGTTCTTTGTTAGTCAGCTTTTGCTCAGCGATTTACAATAACTTAATTTACTTCTTGCCACTTGAATGTTGGGAATCCACCTGTGTTTTATAAAAATTAAGAGGTTTCTTACAGCTGAGTGTGATGATGCACATCCATAACCCAAGCAGTCTGGAGACAGAAGCAGGCAGGTCTCTGAGGCCAGCCTGGTATACCTAGACAGTTCAAGGCCAGCCAGAGCTATGTAGTAGCTATATAAGACCCTGCCTCAAACAGACAAGATGGAGACTTATAGATATGTCCATCATTCTGCTGCTCTGGCCTCTCTTTCTGTGGACTTCACTATCTAAGCCAAGAAGTCAATCCAATACATAAGGGCTCCTCTGGACATCCTGACTTTGAATGGGGCTGATTACTGTCTGTCTCTGTGTCTCCCCTACCCCCATTCATCTCCAAGTATGTCGAGGGCACGTGCCAGGGGTATATTTATACAGGCTGTTCTTCCCCCTCCTGAACCCCTATTGCGGCAGTGAGGGTGGTGGGAGGAGCTCAGTCATAGATGCAGGCCCTTTGAAGACAGCTTATTAAGGCCACAGAAGCTGCACAGAAAGAGCTCTGGACTCACTGGCTCTGCTATGGCCCACTGTGGCCTCCAGCAAGTCTCCTCCTCTCTTACAACCTCAGTTTACTCTCTTAGACAGGAGGGTCTGGCTTCGGCTTGAGCTGTCTCAGATTGCAAGCTATCTAGGATTCTGGCACGAGTGTAGGAGACAAATGGGGTCTCACAGGGGATCTAGAAGGACCTCCTGGAAGAGCCTATGGGAACAAAACATGGACTAATACATGGAGATGGGAGGACCACTCTTCCTCTTGCAGGATATATGCAGGGGGCCTGTTGTGAGCCAGGGAACTGTGAGGAACTGTGCAAGGAAGTGACCCCCAACACCTCTCCTCTCACTACACAGCGGCCTCTGGGCAGTGATTCTGTACCACATGATCTTAGCTGCCTGGAAAAGGGCAGCCACTGGAGTCACCTAGTTCCCTGGTTCCTCAGCCTTGCAAGACCCTCCAGAGAGCCCAGTCACTGAGGGAGGCCAGTGAGAGAGCAGGATGCCCTTCCAGAATGGGCCCAGGATGCAGGTCTAAGCTTACCCAGAGCCCAATGGTCTTACAGCACCAGCTCTCTCCGGTAGCTGAGAAAGCCGAGAGCCTAAAGAAGCAGAACACAGACCTTCTTCTCATGTCTCAAGCACACAGGCCACAATGATCCACTCCAGCACCTTTTCAAACTAAAGCATCCTGCAACAAATTGGTGGAGACAGATGCATAAAGGGATCTCAGAGTCCTTACTTGGCAACACTAAAAGCTGGTAACTGAGTTTAGCACCACATTCATCCACATTGCTTTTATATAGGAAAAGGCTTGGCATCATAAAAGGAATGAGAGGAGAGGTGCTGCCAAGTTCAAGGCGACTTTTGTGGCTCTTTTAAAGCCTCATTACCTAAGTAAGGTGTCTGGGACTGCTGGCTGGTATAGGAAGAGGTAGGTTTGAAGGAATGGAGCAAGAGGAGAGAGTTGATCTCCAGGCAGAAGAGGGTACCTCCTCACCTAACATGTGAATGAGCAGTAGCTGATGGCTTCTAACCAGGTCTGCTCTTTCTGCTGGAAGGTGAAGTTGAGAAGGAAGATAAAGGGCTCTTGGTTTGAAGACGGGAAAGCATTTGACATGAATGCAAGAGAGACCGATCACAAACTTGACCAGGACAGGAAGTTAGAGTAGACTTAACTGGAGCCATTGGTGGCTGACTGCCAGTAGATGCCTAGAGTGTGGTGCTGTGAAGAACACATCGGAGCCCAGCAAAGCAGAGCCCTGACTGATCCATTATGTCTGCTGAGGACCAGGATTCCAGCAGGTGCCTGCCAGGTACTTGCTCGCTCTGCTGGCAATGAAGGCCCATAACCCTGTGGAGTTGTAAGCGGTTTCTCTAACAACACCCAACAGCTAGGATTTAAAGATGGACACTTTACCCAGATACCTCTTGATTTTACCTGCACAGCCCCTGCTCTGTGACCACCCTGTGCATGTGAACGGTACCAAGACAGGACCCACAGTCTCAAATCGCTAGCACCTGGCAGATTTTGCACAAATACCTGGTGGACCAAATCATACAGAACTAAGTATATTCCATGCAGTCCCAGGGCCTATCATGAGTGAGAGGGGCTTACTAGGCACTAGGAGGAAATGGTGATTTTATCCTCCATTCTAGGGAAATAGATTTTCTCAGGATGTTTATCTGTTTAGCTATCCAAGGATCTTGTAGCATCTTCTTTTCAATACTGTGTGATTCAGGAACCAGAGGAGCTAGGTTGGAAGCATGGGTCACCAGTAGATTGGTGTGGGGTCAGGGGACAGATAACTCTAGGGCCCCTTCATTTCTAACTCCAGCAGTCGGAAGTTATCAGTGTCTGTGGCCCTAGCACACTCTAGTTTGAATAAAATTTGAACTTCCAATACCCTATAATCCTTGAACCCCAGCATTCTATTGGTCTGGTTGCCTGGTCTCAATATCCTGGCTCTCAGAGCATTTCAACATTCCTGCATGTTTTTTGTTTCAATTGCTCTTGGAGACTTGGGAGTTGGTACGGAGCCTTGCAGAACCTGTACATGCCTTCGAGGGCTACCAACTGCCCCTTGAGTCAGACAGAAAGATGGCAGGCAGAGTCGGAGACACAAATCTGTTACTCTGAGTGTTGGGACATTCAGGACACTCAGCCTTCAGATTGAGGAAGGGCATTCAAAAAAATCACTTACGGGCCTGAGGCAGAAACACATTAGTGGTAGATTTAAACTTGATAGAAAGGAAAGATATAAGCCCATCATACTGAGCCAAAAGCACACTTTAGCTAAAGACATTTAGCACTGACAGAGATATAACTCAAAGATAAAGCCTTTGCCTAGCATTAATCTAGCACCACCAAAAATGAATGAATGAATGAAGCAACTACTTCCCATAGAAAGCACACTGTTCTGTTTGACAATCCACTTGTACAGCCCCATATTCAGGGCTTCCTGTAAGGACAAGATATTCCTTCAGTTCCATTTGGCAGACCAGTAAATAAGCATGCATACAGGAAGCAAGAGAGCCTCCGGGCTCTAGTGAGGTGATGGTAACGACTCTTCCTTGTGGCTAAGCTCCCTAAAACATCACCCAGCTGCTTGAGCTCTCTGACTTAAGCTCCCACAGGGTCCTGGAACTTCGTCCTCATGCTCTGCTCACACAGCACACTGTCATCTCTTAGTCCAAGTTACACCCCCAGAACTCAGAAGATGCTCATCCTCAATTGTTGAATGAAAAAAATGGATGGATTAATTAATGAATGAGATGACTCTGAGATATGTAATAAGCACCATCCACTCCTATGTTACCCCAAGCAAAATTTGATCTAGCATCTAAGTCTTCTGTCCCCACAGTAGGAATTAGGGGCTCTGGCAACATTATACCCACCTTTCGGATGGAGAGACTACAGTAACAAATAAAAGGCCCCCGAGAATTCACTAGAAAAAGAGCCCTAGGTTCGATTGAGCAAACCACAAAGGCTGAAGCAAGAGACAGAAGCAGGGTTTCAGGTGGTACGGGGGAGAAGGAGCGAATGGTAAGAAAGAGAAAAAGTAAAAGTGAGAAAAGTAAGCCACAAGAGTTAAGTCCAGGCAGTGAGGGTGGGAAAGGGAAACAGCTTGGTGTCATGGAAACGGTTGCCTTCTGAGATATTCCTATAGTCTTCTTGGAGTCTTTCTCACTCCATCTGCACAGTGAGGGACCCACAAGAGGCGAGGTGTTAGGTTCCTTCCAGACCCTGCCTCCCACATCCCATACTTGTTGGCAGAGGCTGACTCGGAGAAGGTTTTCTGGAGAAGGTGGGAGCCAGCTGAAATGTCCCCATGCAAGCCCAGAGGCCTTCCAGCTTTTCACATCAACCCCCTAGTCCTCAAGAAGAGATCCATCCTTCCCTGAACTCGCACTTACTTCTCTGCTCACTGCTTTCGGAAGAGATGCCCCTGAGAGCTTTCAGATGGCCCAAGCACGCCAGAGTCTAGAATAGAGGCTACACTCCCAATAGTTTCTTCCCCTCCCCCGTGGCATCTATGTCCGTCCTGCTCCCCGAGGACAAGCGTGAGGATAAACCTTCCGGAAGTGCTTCAGGATTTCCAGCACTGCTGAACGAATGCTGTCCCCCACAGGGCTCATGCATCTAGAAACTGGCATGTCTGCAACAGCTC